CTGTTGATGTTGAGGACGTTGACTGAACCAAATAAATCCATATGCAGCAATGGGAGCACCTGATTGATTGAGTTAACATGTTTTGGTAGGTGTGATTTTCTATGATGTTTGCCCTGAGTGCATGACACACACTTTTCAAAGGTTATAAAATCTCTGATAGGTAATCCACGGACCATCTCATTATTCTCAAGACGATTTAGGTTCTTGGCATTAGCATGACCGAGTCTTCGGTGCCACAACATTTCATTATGTTCTGAGACCTTCGAAAAGAGGCAAGTGACTTGTTCGGGAATGTTGTTGTTTATATCAATAATGTAAGCATTTCCATTCCGCTTTGATTTAACAAGAATACACTCTTATAGGATGAAAATTCTTGGCTTGAGAATCATACATTCTTTGTCGGTGAAATGAGTAGAATATCCTTTGTCACAAATTTGTGAAACACTCAACAAGCTGTGTTTTAACTCGGGAGAAAAGTTGACATTTTCAAAGCTTAGCACTCCATTTGTAACGATTCCTCTCTGAGTGATCTTGCCACCTTCTCCGCCCGCAAAGGAAACATACCCCCCATTAAAGGATTGAATGTTGCTCAGTTGGGAGATGTCTCCTGTCATATGCCGGGAGAAGCCGCTGTCGATGTACCAAGGTCTGACGACATTCCTCCGCAACTATCCCTGCAAAATGAGCGGGATCATTTAGATTTGGGAACCCAGGTCATCACTTTCCTGGGTTGACCCTTCACTTTCTCTGAATGATCTTTTAAAATTTTCAAATTTAAGTCAGCATTTTTAACTTTTTCAAAGGATGCTAATGATTGATTGGAAGTTAATTTAGGCATCCACTGATATTTGGGTTTCTTAACAGTCACATGTGGTTTTGAAATAGGTTTTTTATTAGTTTGCATTGACCGTCTAGATGTTCTACCAGAATTGGTTGAAGATCCGGAACTACTCTTTGACGAAACCGATCTTGGCGAAGCCTTGTTCGGTTTTGGAAAACTGTTTGTGATGTTGTCATGAAACATTTTTTTGATCTTTTGAAAAACTGCCCTTTTTTCTACTTCGATCATCCTTCCAATCATCATCCTCTGAACGAGTTCTGGAGGACTTTCTAGTTAAAGACCTTTCTCTAGATTCATTCTCTCCTCTTGGAGACATGTAATGTACAAAAATCCTATTCGGACAATTCCTAGCTATATGTCTACCAATACCACAATTGAAACAAATCTGTTTATTATTAAAACTGGTACTAGTTTTCTCAGATTTATTTTCTTTCCTGACATCCTTACTTTTACCACAAGAACATGTACAAGAAGCAGGTTGTCAGATAAGTGAGGGTGCGTCAGATGGTGTAACTTGTGGAATTAGTGTGTTTTCATCAGAAGCATTACAAACATCAGAATTATCAAACAATTCATCAAACACTTCAAAAAAGTTTAATTCAGTATCAGCAGATGCAGAAGTATCACGAAAAACATTGTCATTTTTAACATAAAAAACAATAAATTATTTATTTGAAACTAAAACTTCAGGTTCAGACTCGGTTTTGTTATCAGAAACAGATCCTTCAACTTCGTGCTTTGATTGATCTAAGGATTGATCTACAAGGGAAGTAGAAATGTTAGAACTTTCAACATTAATAACTCCTCCCGAAACAAAACCAATTGGCTTGCCATAAACCATGAAAGATTTGTTGGCAATCTCCTCATCAGAGACATGGTGATACTGATAATTATGATTGAAAGGGGGAGGCACTTTATCGTCTCCTAAACCCTTTTTCTGGTTTTGTTTAAACTGTAGGCAATGGTCAATCATGTTGGCAACTACCTCGCTTGATACATCGTACTTTTTAAAATCAAAGTTTGCAGTTTCAAATTTGTCTTTTAATGTATCAAGCTCAGTAATTAACTCAACATTCTGTCTCTTAATATAGTCATAGTTTTCACATTTGTTACTATAGTCCTCCTGAAGTTTTCTAAAGTCCTTTATTTTTGTCTCTAATTGGGACTTTAGGGGTTTTTGTCCTTTTCTAAGTTGATAGCCCTCGTATCTAAGGTCCTCTACTTCTCTACGTAATGATTTTATTTCCTCACGAAGAAGTTTAACATAATCAACACATGCCTAAGAACAAGACGGTAAACTTACCTCACTTTTCTTGGGTTCGGAAGTAGAAGATACCATCAGTGCAAACTGCAGCTCCATTATCTTTTCTTATGGATCAGCTGCAACATTCTTCATGGGGTATTCATCATTGACTTGGGCCAGGTGAGCATTCTCAGGTCTTGAAATGTTCAACGCTTGTATTTGGTCCTCCCAATCAAATGACTGAGCAATCATAGCCTTCTCGCCATTGACCTGAGCACCTCCCCGATTGTTTCCCACTGCAACCATTTTCCTGTCATTGTTCAATATTATATCCGACTTTGGGCACTCACGAGCAAAATGTCCTGGCTCGTGACAACTGAAACAACGCAACTTCCCTTTGTTGAACCCCGCCTTTTTATCAGCATTCATAGCCCAGTTGTTCTTCCCAGTCTTCTTGAAAAACTGCTTAGCTCTGAATACTGCCATAGCTATCTACCATGTGATGTCCATCTCTTCCACATCTTATGGATGAATCTGATCCAAATCAGCAAATGACAACTGAGGTGGAAAATCTCCAGCAACAAGAGCATTATAGCAGTTCACTAGTCCTATGGCGAAGGCAAGATTGTCATCACATTCCTTTGTGTTTGAGGAAGAGGGCAGAACTGGTACATTGGAGGAAGGATCAACTTAATAATTGACATGTAATTAGCTTTGCGAGTGAGGCATGGATGACGCAGCAGTAATGGTTGGGATCTGAGGTTGTTGAACAACAAATGCTTGACCTGAGGAAGGAATGATTGATGAAAGAGCGTTGTTGGAGGAAGGATCAGCTTAATAATTGACATGTAATTCTGAGATTTGCAGTCGAGTACGAATTCACATGGTTAATCTCTCGCTGTTTATCATCAATATCACAAGCTTTGATGATCGTCATTGTTTCAGCAAGAGTGATGCGATCTAGATCCTTGGTCTTCTTACTAACAGCTACATTCACGTCCCATGACTTTGGAAGAGCATTCATCAGCTTTTTGTTTATCTCAGATTTAGTTAAGAAGATCCCATCTATATTCATTTCGGTAGTGAGAGTTGTGAATCACTGCAGCTGTGCCTCTAGGGTTTCTTCGGGAATGTAGTCGAACATATTGAACCTTTGACGCAGCATATCCTGGCGGCTTTCCTTCATATATTCATTTCCTTCATATATCTTAATCAATACCTCCCACAAGGCTTTAGCTAAAGTATACTCTCTGAAACCTTGAGCTATATCCAGAGATAAAGCCATGGTCAGAGTGGCCAATGCCCTTTCCTGTTCCTCAACTTTTTCAAAGTCTTCATCTGTATAGTTCTCAACTGCTTTGTCAGTTAGTTGTCATGCAACAGTGGTGGTAATTCGGACAAGACCCTTGATGATGCTTCTCCAAACCTTGGAGTCTTTCATTTTAATATACTTCTCAATCCTGTATTTCCACTCATGAAAACCATCTGCAGACAGAAGTATTGGAATGCGTATAGTTGTGCCCATGACAAAATCCGGCTCATGATGATGTGTTTGGCTTTGAGAATTCATTGATTATTAAGCTTTGAGGTAAAGATTTATAACAAAATTGTCAAAAATTCAATTTTTAGGTAAAAACTTGAGTTTACGGTCAAGATGGGGTTTACGGCCATAAAATTAGTTTACGGTCGAGAGATTATGGTCTGAGTGTTTACGGTTAATAAAGTTGCACTGATTACGGTTTTTGAAGCTTAGTTTACGGTTATTGAAGATACACAGTTTGCGGTCCTTTAATGTTCTTGAGTTTACGGCTGTAAACTAGGTTTACAGTCGTAAGCTTGTGGCAGTAAACTCCCAGAGGTTCACGAAAACATGATTTTGAAGAGGATTCGATCCCTTTTAACAGCGAAAGTGCCAAACCCAGTCTCGAACAGTGAAGAACACGAGTTTAAATGGTCAAAAACTTGATTGTAAGATGCTTTGACATTGGTTTTGCTCTGATACCAATTGTAAGGTACTAAAACGGATCTTTAAGCAATTAAACAATCAAATAGAATAAGAATCGGAGTAGAAACAAAATTGAAACAAGCTTGCACATGATTTTATTGCAGAAAAGCGTCTGGTACAACTTGTTTACCAATTATAAGGTCCTAAACTTTATATGTATTTTATATCTACGAATATGTTGGGTAAAACATGGGTAGATGAATGAGGAGGGATGAAATAGGATATAAGTAAACATTGGTGACTATGGACTTAGTGCCAATTGTATAAACCATGACGACTATGGACTTAGTGCCTAAACCCTGACAACTATGGACTTAGTGCCTATTGTATAAACCCTGATGACTATGGACTTAGTGCCTGTTGTATAAATATTGGCGACGATGGACTTCGTGCCTATTCTTTAGGATAATCCTTAGGAACGACTGAACGAGGAATAGCTGATTCTTAGGATAGATCCTTAAGAATAAAGAATATAATGGGGATGGGTAATTGGGTTGATTGTTTGATGTTTAAACATAATAATTATATTATTGTGGGCTGAAAACCCTATGTACTCACCAGATTTTCCAATCTGACCCATTCGGTTTATTTGTATCACAGGTATCGATATGAAGTTACATTACACTGAGAGATTAAGGAGATATAAATCACTAGTGATAACAAATGTAAAGTCTGTTTATGCTTATGTTTCTGTATTGACGACGACATCCCAATGTTTTAAAATGAATAAAATACATTCTTCGGAAATGCTTTGATAACGTATTTATCATGTTTTTTCTGGGAACAAATTACGAAACACTTTTCTTTAAAAGGTTACTCTGATTTTCAAAATATAAGCATAAACAAATCGGTATTTTCTAGTCGTGAAAATGAGGATGTCACAAGGTGGCAGAGAGAAGGCGCGAGCGACGATGGCTTCGTCCTCTTGGAGGTGGCAATGTAGCGACGAGAAGAGCAGTCTAGCTAGAGAACGACGACAACAACACCTGCAACTTCGTTTCCCGACAGTTGCAGTTCGACCGGTCTCCCAACTTCATAGTGTTGGCTTGTGCTTCGCAACCCATGCTTTCGCCGGCAGTGAGACGAGAACGATGGAAGTTTCGGTGCTCCTTTGGTGGTTTCCGGCTTCGACAAATAAAAAGGCGGCGGCCGGAGGTTAGGGGATATAAGGTGGCGGCTTATGAACACTACTAGGGTTAGGGTTAAGGGGGGTGATGAGTTATATACCCTGACTCCATAAGAACTTCATCCCATGTTGACACAATCAGTCCCTCTTTTTCCTTTTTCTTTCAAATTAACTCCAAATTTAACCAAATAGCCCCTCCTCTACAAAATATTTTCAACTTAAGTCTATATATTACCATTCAGCCCCTTAGCCTCCAAAATCTTTAAATTTTGAAGTCCATTATTTACCAAACACTCACTAACTTCTGAAAATATTTACAAAACCAATCCGAACTTACACTTTTAATCCCCAATTTCAAAATTATGATGTTTAACTCCCCGAAGCCAATACTTTGCTAAATTATTATTGACTTTGGCTACAATAATATAAAATAAAATATAATTTATATCTCAGGGTTTTAGAATTATTTATTTATTTACTTATTTTATTTAATTTCAAACGGAATGTTAACATGAGTTTGTATTTAATTAGCCATTAATTTTAATAACAAAAGGACCACAAACAAAGGTTTTTTTTTGTTAACTACTACATGTTTACAAAGAAATTTAATTGTCAAGTTGAAATTATCATCCACCCGCTAAATAAACTATTCGCCAACTGTTAAAAAGAAACTAATCACTAGATGCCATATTTTTATCTCGAACCAAACTGCTGAAAAAACCTTAATCGCCGAAAGAAATTATCTCATGCCGCTGCATCGCGTGGGTATCCTACTAATATATATATATATATATATATATATATATATATATATATATATATATATATATATATATATATATATTCAAACTTTATTTTTTTGAAAACTATTCCTGAATAGATATGTTCAAACTTTATTTTTTTGAGATAACATCTTCATAACTTATTTCATTAAATTCAAATACAAAACAATCATGTTTATATGTGGTTAAACGTAAATCACATTTTTCAAATGAAAAACACCAATATTTCGTAGAATGAAATTTAAAAAATACATAAGTTAAAGTTTATATCTAACTTGTTTGTTAGTTTACAATCAAATCAAACTCTTGAGAATACCGAATACATGAATGATTAAGAACATGTTCATCGGTGATGTAACTAATCTTTAGTGAGTCATATATTGTAGGCTTCTGAGAAATCTATCAAAACTCAATAATCATAATCGAAATAACTAATATTTAGTAAGCCATATATTGTAAGCTTCTCAAAAATCTATCTAAACTCAATAATCAGAATCGAAATTACTCAAAATTTTAGATACATGATTCTTTTATATGAATTTGGATAGTGATTTTCCAAAAAAAGATATTTAAATCATCGAAAATCCATATAAATATTTTTATATATTTGTTATACAAGTCTTCGATACAACAATTGAAGAAATATAAGGGAGTTCATTCACAACGGTTCCTTTTTTTTTTTATTATTATTTTTTATTGTATTCAACTAATAAATAAATTGACATTTGTTATATGATCTTACATGTGATATTAAATAAATAAAGAATAACTATTTAATGAGATTGTTTAAAAGATAATAATATGTAAGTTGTAATTTTGGTATCTATATCAAAATTTTTTAGTATTTGAGATTTCGAATCTGAATACGAATTCAAATATCAAAATACAATATCCAAAATTCAGATATATGTAATTTTGAACCTGTTGCCATTGGCATAAGGATTTTGCCTTTTCATGTTCGATTTCATATGTGTGAACAAACACATGGTCCACAAATTTCCTTCTGAATAAAGTAGACAAAGAAATGAAAGGTTCCATGATACCTTTGTGGTACTCTAGATATGAAATGCCCCATGATACCTTCATGGTATTTTAAAAAAAATAGTTGGTACCAACAATATGAGTCAAGAATTTATGTTTCATGTGAATGAAGTTTAATGCTTTTTTTTTTCTCTGCAATTAGGTACTTAAATGCTTGGTCTTATCATCCAAAAAACTCAATGTTGTCGGAATCAATGGGGTTGTTTGCGGCATCACAAAGAGACGAATCTTCCTGCTTGATAGATCTTTTAATGTAAAATATTTAATAAGAAACAAAAGTTAAAAATGCAATATTATAATTAGATATATGGCAAAATAAAATGCATTAAAAAAATAAATAAATCATAAAGAATAATAAATAAAGAAAACAAATAATAATAGGATACTATGATTTGTTATTAAACAAGTGATATTATTTATTATATATAATATTACCTCTTTATGTGGAAAATACAATAAAAATAGTTTTTTCCACTCTAGATTTTTTAGATTTTAAATGGACTGTAAGTGTTGTATTTCTATGACACTATTTTATATGTCAACTCAACCTTATCTTCAACTTGCTGTTACAAATCAAACTCTTATTTGCTATTACTTCAGTTTTTGGTTTTGTTTTTTATACTTTTTTAATAGAAAAAGAATTGTAGTTTTTTGCTTTACAACGACAAATGTGGTTTTTGCATTGAACATTACATTCTCATTTCTAGCAAAGTAGAAGGAAAATAAATTCTTTTGAAAAAACATAAGGTGTTTGGAATTTGTACGAAAGAGTATGGCTTTTGTCGACTACCAAAACGTTAAAAACAAATTTGTAACTTATAATTCTTATTTATAAAATCTTTTTGAAAGAGATAATATTTATCAATTGTTTAATAAAATTTATAATAACATATTTTGAGATATCTACCAATTTTTTTAAAACAATTTTTTTTAATTAAAACAATAGAAACATAATACTACAGTTTAATATATTTTAGAAAACACATATGTCTTACTAAACCAATTAAAAATATAATTAAAAATATAATATTCTAATAAAAATGTAATGTTTATATTTGAAAAGGAAAACCACAAGAAAATATCTTCCAAACAAAAAACCTTTTCCTTCAAATATCAAACAAGCCAGGACTTTGGTCCTACAAGGCTACAACACCCAACAAAACCAGTGCATCAATCTAACGAATACATGCGTTCAAATCTTGAACCCTATTCTCAATAGATTGCTACATATCCGCTTTCCCTCTTCAAACCTCCACAGATCAACTTACCTCTATCCCTCAACTCTGTACACCCACCAATAAATAATTACCCCACAGTTGAATTTAAGATCCGATAGTATCTTGACTTTCAGTTTCTCACCCGTTACTTCAGCAAAACCCAATCAAATACCCAAAACAAAGCCTTCTTCTCTGTGAGTTTAGTTTGTCGATGAAAATTTCAGCTTACGAAGTTAACCTGATTGGGTTTTCTGTAATTTCATGTGAAAACCAGATTAAGTTTGAAGTCCGGGTGATTTGATTGACCTGAACGTGGTATGAACCGATCTTCTTTTGAATCTACCAGCGCGAATTATGGGGAGATTTCTTGGTGGGTTTATTTTGCCTGTACTGCTCTTAACAGGTATCTTCTTTCATCCCACTTATGATTTAGAGCTTTAAACCTAGATAATTTCTAACATAGATTTTGTTTTTAACCCCAAAATGTCTGTAAATTTTGGTACTTGAGATAGTTTAATGTAGTTTTGAAGTTTGTTTTTTTATCCAAAGGAAGTAGTTCTTGTCAATTTTGAAGTTGAAAACGATTCAGTTCACACTTAAATGTTCAATTGTGAACTGCAATGGAGGTCTGTAATTCATTGTCTTATACGTTCTCGTTCTTTATGCTCTTGCAGCCGCTTTACTCAACTGGAGTTTGATCTCTCTCGGAAATTTGCTAGCGGCTCTACTTATTCTTTTCACTCCTCCTAAACGAGGTAAAGCATTTCATCTAGTCTTCTATATTCTCGATTAAACTTTTAACCTAACAAATATCTCTTTCCATGTGTATTTTGCAAATCATAATCATTATGTTTTGTAGGATTTCAATCCAGAGGGAGACCACTACTATGGATTATCATACTCTTCTCATTTCTTGTAATCCTTTCACAAACAACATTTCTAATCACATGGGCTATTGAGTGTGGAGGCTGCAATGCAGAAGAACCTTGGTGGGCAAAGCTCATAGGATTTATGATGTGAGATTTTGAATCCAGTTTTCAGTCATTTATTGTGATTATTATATTATGCAGACTCATGAGGTATGTTTTTTTTGTTTTTGTTTTTTCAGAGTTACAACATGGAGATCACCCATAGTGATTTATCTTTTGATTGTTCAACTACTAGTTGCATTCGCTGCTTTTATTGAACTCCATGAAAGCAGATTAGGTTTGTTTATACACAGCACTTCGTTATTCGGGAGTTCATCATCAGCTTTTGACCGATTAGGTTAGTAACAACTTGATTTAGCTCCTCAGTTTTAGAATAGGGTTAAATACAAGAAATACTTTGAAATATCTTTCCAATTATAGCAATGCCATCCAAATACAAACTTGGGTAGATTTTTTCATAAGTACAAAATATCTTGCATTTTGCCTGTTTACTTGAAAACTTCAACAACTTATGAAGCTTTGATGATATGGAAATGGAAGGTTCACACTTGAAGGTTGCTTTCTGCTTGCTGTTGCCTGCTGTTCAACTGGTTGTTGGAATCAGCAATTCTTCTTGGATTTCTTTGCCCTTTTTTGTTTGTAGTTGTGTGGGCCTTGTTGATTGGTCCTTAACAAGCAACTTTCATGGCCTCTTCAGGTAATCTCAAGGATAGTTTGGTAATTTTACATGTTACATGTTACATTCCTAGTTGTTGACAGTTTGTTTACATCATAATGAAGGTGGTGGAGATATCTCTGGTTTTATGCGGGGTTAAATATTTTGTTGCTATACATCTATCAACTTCCCCTAGACTTCCCAAACTTCATTTCTACAATAGCTGATTTCATTGGCCTCTACAAAATCTCTACAACCTCTGAGTGGACACAGTTTTGTTCTGCTGCTTCATTAATCATATATTGCTTCATGGTATCGTGTGCTTTTTCTTATTATTATGTAACCTTTTACTTCTGTTATTTCTAAAACTCATACTTAATTTTTCATTCGCTTTTGGTGATTCACAGTTATCTTTTGTCAAACATGATTTGGAAGAAATGGATTCCATCATGTCCACAAGTGAAGGCAACATAACTGAGCATCTTCTGCCCTTAAAGGACTCTTTTTTTGTTCGTGAATCAAGGTAATTAATCCCCCCCTTTTTTTGCAAAAGAGATATTTAATTAGGAGTAAATGTAAATCACATTTTTGGTCCCTGAGTATAGCTGATTTTAGCAAATTTGACCCCTGTTCCAAAAAATGCAGTTTACTGACTCTGTAATTAAATGTGATGTTATTTGCAGATCTGGTGTAAGACACACAAATCTTTTAGTGAGAGGTGCTGTTTTTAGGACATTCAGTATCAACTTCTTCACATATGGAGTTCCGGTATATACCCTTGAAATACAATTGTGTGTTAGGTTGAAAGCAGTTATATTTGTTTGGGCTTATTTGTTAAATTTTCAGTGATGAAATTGACAGGTGTCTTTGTTTGCACTTTCTTTATGGAGCTTCTATTTTGCAAGTGTATGTGCGTTTGGGTTACTTGTATATGTGGGTTACATTATATTTGCTTTCCCATCATTATTCCAATTGCACCGATTAAATGGGCTGCTTCTCATCTTCATTCTCTTATGGGCTGTTAGCACATATATCTTCAATGTTGCATTTGCATACCTCAACTTTGAACTTGGAAAGGTAAACAATATTTATTATTCACCTTCTTTCCTTCTTTTTTTTTTTTTTTTTGACTTTGAATTTGGTTAAATAGGATATGGAGATTTGGGAAATGGTGGGATTGTGGCATTATCCGATTCCAGGGTTCTTTATACTTGCTCAGTTTTGTCTTGGGGTTTTGGTTGCCCTTGGGAATCTTGTCAACAATTCTGTTTTTCTTTACATTTCTGATGAGGACCATGAGGCCTCAAATGGAGATGTAAATCATGAAGGTCAGTAGATGATTATGTTTTTTTAGGGATAAACACAAAAATAACCAAAAATGGGAAAGGTAATATCACTAAATGATCTCCTTTCAACTTTTATCACAAAATAACCACTTATTTTGCCAATGGATCTTGCAAAATACCTATTTTTCCAAGATTAACTTCTTTTTCTTGCAGTTAAAACAAATGAATGAACACAAGTTGCTATTTCTTGTAGTTAAAGAAGAAACAAAAGTGCTGATTGTGGCTACAATTGCTTGGGGACTACGAAAATGCTCTCGTGCTATTATGCTGGTGCTCATATTTCTCATTGCTATGAAACCCGGTTTTATCCATGCTATATACAGTACGTTTTAATTTTAATTTTAATCTTTTTATTAATCCAATTTTCAGAACAAGGTCTCTAATATAAAACCCTAATTCTTTGATCCAGTGATATTCTTTTTCCTTTATCTTTTGAGCCACACAATCAGCAACAAAGTACGCCACGTCTTACTTCTTTTATGCGAGCTTCATTTTGCTTTGTTGTATTCTCTTCAAATAACTCTCGTCTCTCAAGCATTGGAGAAAAGTGGCTCAATAACTATGGAAGTTTTATCTCAATTGGGTATGTCTAATGGTTCTATTAGACTATTTTTTATTATGTTGCATTTTTCTTTTTTTAAATATCTGACCAGATTTGCTACAGGTCTTCGTGAACATGGTAGCTCATGGGATTTTCTTGAAATAGCTTTGCTTGCGTGCTTTTGTGCCATTGATAAACACGGGTATAAAATGCTGTTTTCATTCTCAGCAATTGTACAGCATACACCATATCCTCCTGTTGGATTCAGTATCCTGAAAGCAGGTTTGAATAAATCGGTTTTGTTGTCTGTTTATGCATCGGGAACAAGAATCAACGATGATACTCCATCTCAAGGTCTTTACTTTTGTCATACATTAAATTTCATCATGTCTTAATGGGTGTTTGGATGCATGTTCAATTCAAACTGATTATTTAATTCTATTTCCACTTATTCAAGTTGCAATAATCTGTTTCAAAGCACGCATCCCTTACACTGTATCAAGATTTACTAATAGTGAATATTCACGTGTTTTTTTCTTTTTTCTTTCAGAGAGGAAAGTGGCTTCATATCTAAGTGCAATCGGGCAGAAATTTCTATCTTTATACAGGTCATTTGGCACATACATCGCGTTTATAACAATACTCATCACAGTCTACATGGCAAGCCCAAATTTTGTATCATTCGGGTTCATTTTCCTTCTTCTCTTCTGGATTACGGGTCGACAACTTGTTCAGAAAACAAAACGCCGATTATGGTTCCCATTAAAAGCATACGCCATCACCATGTTCATTCTCATCTACAGTTTAAGCATCTTTCCATCTTTCGAGATCTGGGTATCCGAAAACATCGATCTCTACACAATCCTCGGATACAATCCTCAAGCTTCACTGTTGAAAAATGTCTCAGAGCCATTAGCAATCACCATTGTTATGCAACTTTATAGCTACGAGAGAAGACAAAGCAGGTTTCGAACTGTTGAAGATCCGAATCGAATACAGTTTGGTGTAATCGGGTTTATCAGAAGGCTTTTGATTTGGCATAGTCAAAAGATTTTATTTGTCGCGATGTTTTACGCTGCTTTATCACCAATAAGCGCGTTTGGGTTCGTGTATCTTCTTGGTATTGTGCTCTGTTCACTTTTACCTAAAGCTTCGCGGGTCCCATCGAAATCGTTTCTGGCATACACGGGGTTTCTTGTTACAATTGAGTATTTGTTTCAAATGTTGGGTAAACGGATCCATATGTTCCCGGGTCAAAAATATTATGATGTATCCGTTTTTCTTGGGTTGAAAGTGTATGAGCCTGGGTTTTGGGGGGTGGAAGCCGGATTGCGGGCTAAAGTTTTAGTGGTTGCAGCTTGTACGCTTCAATACAATGTCTTTCATTGGCTCGAACTGATGCCTAGCTGGCTCTCGGGTGTCGGTCAATGGGAAGAACCCTGCCCGTTGTTTTTTTCAGAAGAAGACGTGCTGCCCGTTGTCTTGGATGTGTCTGCCCGAAATTTAGAAAAAACCAAGATCAAAACGAGTAATTCATGGCCCGGAATTGGAATCGATGATTCCGGTAAGAAAACCGGGATTCCGGAAAGTAGTAGCAAACGGAATCTTCTCGGGTATCTTTGGGGTAGTAACGAGAGCCATAAATGGAATAAAAAACGGGTTCTTGCATTGAGAAAAGAACGATTCGAAATGCAAAAAACTTCATTGAAAGTCTACTTGAAATTCTGGATGGAAAACATGTTTATTCTCTTCGGGCTTGAAATCACAATGATCGTGTTGCTTCTTACAAGTTTTGCACTTTTAAACATCGTGTCAATGCTGTACATCGCA